GTTCAGGCACTGAGAGGTTTTTGTTCAGCTGTACTGATGGTTTGTGTTACTGTGGGTCTCTAGCACAGTAATACACAGCCGTGTCTCCAGGCTGCACATTCTGTCCGTTTAGAGTCACTGTTTTACTGGAAGCATCTAAGTCGATACTAAACTTGCTCTTCAATGAATCTTTGTAGTATGACGCTCCAGTATGTTTCATTCCAATCCATTCCAGTCCTTTCCCTGCAGGCTGTCTGATCCATGCTGTGTAGTAGCCAAGAGCATAAGAAACCTGACAGGTGATGGTCAGACGTTGACCGGGCTGCACAGTCACAGAGGCCGGCTGCGTCAACTGCTCACACTTCACACCTGTGGAGGCAAACATGAAATGTTGTATCAATGTAATAACAGTGAGCAGTCAGTGTGCTGTGATGTCCATGTCTCTGCCTCAGTGACACTCACAGTATCCAGCGGCCAGCAGCAGCAGTAGAGCTACAGAGAACATGTTGGTGTGGAGGTTGATCTGATGGGAGCTTCTCCTCTTCTGCTGCGACTGACAGCGTGATATCAAGTCTTTAAAGGAGACTGTGAGGAAGTTTACTTTGCATATAGAAGGAGGCTATAAAAGAGGGATGAAGTGTTCTGTCACAGCAGACCAAAGCCTGGAATAGTGTCAAACACACGTGACACGAGAAAGAAGATGTATTTATTATTTTATGCAATAACTTAAAGGGAACTCTCTTATTCCTACAAAAGAAATTCTACCAACGCAGTCATGTCAAAGTAACAGATATGTATTGATGAACATATTATTAAATATTTGGGTAAACAAAATATGAAGTTTCATTGAGACTAGATTTACTGAGTGTGCTTATGTTTAACTTCAGAATATGCAAATATAAAGCAAAATTTAGACTTCGTTGATGTGTCGAGTATTTAATATGCTCCTATAGTCTTCAGACTGCACGTTCTGTCCTTTTAGGGTCACTGTTTTTTAACTAAATATACTTGAAGCAGAATTGTTCACTTGTAGAATACCAGACATCCAGTTGCAAACAGCAGCAGCACCAGAGATACAGACAACATGATTTATGTTAAAACATTAAAATGTGTAGGAAAATTGGTGGCAAAAAAAGACGAGTGTTTACTGAAGGGATTTATGGATGGATGGAATGCTCATTATATGTTCCTGTCCTGTTTTGAATGTAATTTGTAATGTAATGTAATGTAATTAAAAGCAATTATTACAACATAGTATTGATAAGAGTAGCTCCACAGTATTACAAACGTAAAAATACTTATCCCAACCAGAGAGCCACTTGGAAACTGATGATCACATCATTTATAGTTTATGGCATCAGTAATACAGAATTTATTCATGCTTTTACAGTTAAAAAACACTTTATATAACTGTGAGTGATTTGACATCATGAAGATAATACATATTTAGCCATGGCTTTTAAATACAATAAAGGGGATAAATATTAAAGTACTTTTGCTGTTTGTGAGAAAATCCAAATGTCCCCAAGTTGCTGTTTGTTGTCTGTGGATGTTTTTGTTCAGCTGCTCCGCTGTCTTCAGTCACTGTGTGTCGAGCACAGAAGTAAACAGCTGAGTCTTCTGCTGTCAGGCTCGTGACCTCGAGGTACTGAGTGCTCTTGGACACATCTTCAGTCATGATGAAACGGCTTTGGAAGGAGCTGCTGTAGATAGCAGAGTTGCTGCCTGCGTCCATCCTCCCAATCCACTCCAGAGCATTTCCTGGCCTCTGTCGTATCCAGCTAATATAGAAGTTTGTCATACTATAACCTGACGTGATACACGACATCTTCACTTTCTCTCCAGGTTTCTTCACCTCGGAGGGAGACTGTTCGTGTTTGATTTCACTCCAAACTCCTGTAAGAAAAGACATTGTAATCAGCACACCTCACAGGTGAGATAAGTGAGTGTCTTCACTGTGTTAAAGCAGAAATTGTTCTTACCATTAATAGTAACTATGAAGAACAGACTCCATGAAATCATATTTTCCATTATGTTACTAACACTTCATCCACTGCTTTCTGCTCTGAATGTTTTCAAGATATATTAGAAGCCCAGTTGCTCCGTCATCAATGACATGAGAGCTGCATACGGCATTATTTTAAGGAAGGAACAATTTGCATGCACCTCCCTCAACAGGTTTCAAAAGACAAAATGGAAAGCAGGTGAACTCAAATAAATACACAACAGCCAAAGCAGAGTGACGTAAAAGATCTAAATTCAAGACAAATATTCATAATGTAAAATATTTGTTCTACAGGAAAAGCAAATACGCATTTTTGTGACAGTATATCGAGCAGATTTTTGAAAGAATATAGTTTGAGTGGACATAATTCTTTGATGTCTTGGATTCTACCTTTGAATCCTTAAAGAAATAGTACGCGGGTAGAAAAGCCCAATTTAGCGGCACAGCTGCAATGATCACAATGCAAGATGATCTCTTAAATACATTAAATAACCAGACAATGTCTCCTTCAGGGAGTAACTAGTCACACACAGACTGCTTTATAACGTATTTAAATGTGTTTGACAGTGTGTGGGTGAGTCACACGGTTGCTGGTACTTGTGCAGGTCTGTTGGTGGTTTGTATCTCTGAGGGATAACGCACACAGCAACACACAGCTGTGTCCTCAGTTTGATCATTCTGTCCTTTTAAAGTCACTGTTGGAGGCAGAAGTGTCTCTGCTGGAGATTAACTTATTCTTCAGAGCATCATTTTGACAAAGGACACGTTTATATGGCACAGGTCAAACATTTAGAAAAAGAAATAGCAAAACAAATAATTCACTCCAAATGATTGTATTTTATTTTGTAGGATAAATAATAAAATTCAGGTTATTTATCATCTGGGTGTTTCAGAGATAAATAATGAATACAATAGGTTCCTCTATGACAAGTCGTAGTGAGGATCCTAATAATACAATTTTAGCGTAGAACTCAAAATCTGAAGAAAAATTATTTTCCTTGCTTGTAAAAGTCAATGTAGGGCAATTAATAAACGTTTTATGAATGTTCTTAAATATATAGAATAGCATATTAGTAATTGTAACGTGTAGGTATTTAAACTGATGTAACAGTGAGCTGGTGGTGAAATCATTGGTGGTCTGAGGACTCCTCCTCTGGTGGCTTTGTGTTACAAGTGTTCAGGCACTGGGAGGTTTTTGTTCAGCTGTACTGATGGTTTGTGTTACTGTGTCTGTCTAGCACAGTAATACACTGCGCTGTCCTCAGTCTTCAGACTGTTCATCTGTAGATACAGTTTACTGCTGGAGTCATCTCTGGAGATGGTGAATCTACCCTTGACTGATGGGGAGTAATAGATTGGAGAACTAGATGTGCCGATGTAAGCGATGCACTCCAGTCCTTTTCCAGGAGCCTGTCTGATCCAGGTCATGTAGTAGCTTCTGAATGTGAATCCAGATGTTGTACAAGTCAACCTGTGAGATTCTTCAGGCCTTTTAATCACTGCTTCAGATTGTGTCAGAGTCTGACCATCAACACCTGTCAAGAGAAGAAGATATGCATGTCATGTGTTACGTTAACAGCAAGTGGAAACGTGTGAAATCAAGATCAGAGAAATTCTTCACCTGCGCAGAAGACAGTTAAAAGCAGCAGTCCTGTCCTAAAGTCCCTCATGGTTAACTGTGTATCCACTGTCCTCTGTCCTCCTCTCTGCAGCCACATAAGTAGAGGAGAAAGACATCTGAGTTTTGCATTGACTCCTCCTCTCTGATTGAACAGTGTCCTTGTTTTACTCTTAGTCACTTTATAACATTTGAATATGTTTCACACTCAGAGGATTCTGTCTAATGTAACACAAGATCACTTTAATTGGAGAATCAAATCTCTGTAGTGAAGTCCTCTCACTGAGGTGGTTTACAACTAACAGTAAAAATATAATAATGAAGATATTATCAGGATCGTCAGGATCCGAACCTGTGTCTCCGTGTAGCAGGCGGGTTGCCTACCACTGCTTTACGAGTGATGATGACTCAGATGCAGGGACAGAGAGAGACGAGTTGTTGGTAGGGAATAAAAATAGGTTTCTTTACTTGAATAAAACAGAGGATTGCAGAAGGTTTGACAGCAACTCAAAAATACTTCCAGACAACTAAAAACAAAGTCTGGGAAATTAACAAGGTAACTAAGGGTGTCCAAAAGAGAGGCAACAAAAAGATCTCAAGAACCAAAAAAGGATTATCAGAGGTAAATAATCTAGGCAGAGGTTCTTTTAGCAACTCACGTGACTAAGCTCAAGGTGTCAACTTCCAAGACTCAGCAAACAAAAGGACACTCAGGTGGCTTTTAAAGGCTAGCAAATAATGCACAGGTGAACACCATGAAAAAAAAAGACCTGTAATGAAAACAATCAAGACAGGACACATGTGATAGGAATAACTGGAACACTGAGGACCCCTCATGGTCCTTCAGGGTACTGCAGTCCAAAAACCCTGACAGATATTGTTTCTCTCTCAGAGCCCAGGGAGTAAATGTTTGTCTTATTGGATCATCCTGTATTGAATCATCTTTCATCACAATTTCTCATAAGAAAAAGACTAAACAGCAGCTCCCTCAGTCTTCCAGCTGTTTATATTTACATCTGTAGTGACCTGAAATGTTTAATCCAATAAAGCTGCCATCAGTATAAGTGGTTGAGATGTGTTCATATAATGTTCCTTTTTTCTAGACATATCATTTAAACACTTTTCAAAGTTGGGATTTTGTTATGATAGGAATAGAATTTTATGCATTAGTTTCAAAAATATGCTACGTTTTGGTTCTTAGCGTCTAACTCAACATCTGAAGAAAACTCTGAGAAATCATTTTTATTGCTTGTAAAATTCAATGTATGCCAATTAATAAACGTGTCATCAACTTTTTATTCAGGAAATATATTTTCAATAGCATATTAGTAATTGTAATGTGTAGGTATTTAAACTGATGTAACAGTGAGCTGGTGGTGAAATCATTGGTGGTCTGAGGACTCCTCCTCTGGTGGCTTTGTGTTACAAGTGTTCAGGCACTGAGAGGTTTTTGTTCAGCTGTACTGATGGTTTGTGTTACTGTGGGTCTCTAGCACAGTAATACACAGCCGTGTCTCCAGGCTGCACATTCTGTCCGTTTAGAGTCACTGTTTTACTGGAAGCATCTAAGTCGATACTAAACTTGCTCTTCAGTGAATCTTTGTAGCGTGAATCTCCAGTATATTTGCTTCCAATCCATTCCAGTCCTTTCCCTGCAGGCTGTCTGATCCATGCTGTCCAGTAGCTGCTCAGACTATAAGAAACCTGACAGGTGATGGTCAGACGTTGACCGGGCTGCACAGTCACAGAGGCCGGCTGCGTCAACTGCTCACATTTGAAGCCTGTTAAAAAATGATTTTTCTTTAATATCAAGTTATACAAGAAGAACGAATGACTTTGATGAATCAAGAGGAACTTACATCCAGCTGCCAACAGCAGCAGCAGAGCTATTGAGAACATGGTGATGTTGAAACTGTCGAGCTGTGAACTCAACAGACTGATGGGATGTTTTTATAGCTGACCAACAAGGAAGCTCCCTGAGTTTGCATGGGATCACACATATGAAACTTCAACGTTGGTCTAACTGGAGCCAGTTGGACAGTCTCTCCAATCTGTTCATTATATCTGCACACTGAAAACGTGCTTTGAACTCATCTCTGAGCACAAGTAAAACACACCTGGATGCATTTACAGAACTTAAACACATGTCAACTAAGAAACTCAATTATTTTATAATTGCAAACAAAGGTAAGTTGTTGCTTGTTTGGCATGTTTTCAAATTATTAAATAAAATTAAAGTATGATGTCAACGGTTTTTGTGCCGGCGCCTTTCACCATTCATGATTGACTCTAAAGTACATGAGTACATTTTTTTTTTTTTTTTTATTCATTAATTTGCGTTAAACAGGGCACATAAATAGCATGATTGTAACGGTTCTGGGGCGGCGGAGTGACTTAAGAGCAGAGAGAAACCTGAGAGACGAGGGACGGTAGTGGACAGGTGAACGTAGGTATAGTGAATAAGGAATCAGGAGGAACACGAGGACAGGAACGGAAAAGACAGGAGGGGTTAGTGACACAAGGAACAGGAAACACACACACAAGATTAACTCCCAAAAAAACTTTCTTTATATTCCACATAATGTAAAGTCGTTATTGTGTCTCAGTTTGTAGAAAGTCAAAGTATTTGTTGAAGTTCGGTAACCATTTGTTACATGCCAGACGGGGACGGTCTGCATGTGTTCTTGTCGTTCTCCCTCTTGCTCATTGGTTTCTCTCCCCCAGTGATTATGCTGATTGGCCAATTACAAACACAGGTGGAAAGCAATCAGCAGTTCCGGTGGCAGTCCATAAAGGAAGACTCCTGAGAAGTGAAAGGGGGTGTGTTCTGCGCTGCGGGCTGGTGGCCAGTCTTCCTGTACATGAGCTTTAGCTGGCTGCTAGCAAAACTGGAGTTTTGTAAGGTGGAGGTTGAGGACCTTAGTAAGTTGGGGTACCCTGTACATTTTCGCACGTAGGTATACCTTTGTATAGACACACCAGGTGTAGTGGTTGTTGCGTCCTGTGTAACGTTTTCCTTTAGTCCTTTTTTAGAGAAGCAGGTATGGTATTTTGTTTGACTTGTTTTGGATGAAGAGCCAGTGGTGAGCTAGGCCTCGTTTTGTTATATTCATTTCATTTGTTTGGCACAACCTGTGTCCCATCTCCCTCCCTCCTGTTGGGAGCCATCGTTTTGTGTAAGAATAAAAACTAGAAAGACACCTTTTACCCTGACTCTGTCGCCTGTCATTGATTGTTGTTTGACCGTCCTGGAATCTACAAAAGGGCCGTAACACCATTTATCAATGTAGCCGGTGACGTAAGCTGCTCGCACTCGCTGTGTCAACTGTTCCCGTTTGACCCCTTTTAAAAAAGATTTTTGAAACTGAGAAGACATGAGCTTCTGATGCTTTCAGTGTCATGGGATGTTTTTAATAACTGCTTCACAAGGGAAAATACAATTTTGTTCAGATAGTGTTGCCTCCATTACATCATACACATTAATTTCTTACAAAATCAAAATATAACTCTATTTGTTTTTTTTGATGAAATTAATTTCATAACTCACTCAAAGTCCTGCAATACACCAGTTCCAATGATGCAATTTCAAAAGTGCTAGTGAAAGATTTGAATGGTTATCGTTCTGTAATTTACACAAATGAAGTGAGAGCGAGATCATCTAAATTCATCTACATGAATATTTGAATTTGCTGCAGCTGCTTTTTAGACTTTTAGGGTTTCTGTATTTAAATATCCCCAATTTGAAGCCACAGACATGAAGTGAGTGAGAGCGAGATAATCTAAATTCATCTGCTTTTTAGACTTTCAAGAATTTGGTATTTAAATATTTGAAGCCACAGACATACAGAGAAACATGGAGCCTCAAGAAGAAATGAGCTATTTAGGAAGTGAAACCTGAGACATGCAAAGATAACCGATGGCAGTGGTAAGAGGACACACATCTGCTGGCGTGTCATGTCCAAGAAGCGGTGCCAGTCAGGTCGCCTTGTGTCTCTTGTCTTGTGATTAATGTGAGATTCCAGTAGTGGTGAAACATGTTGTAAACATTTGTCTGGTGCTAAAAGCCAGGTCTCAGTGGTTGACCCTGAGATGGAGAGATAGAAAAATTTAGGGTTTGCAGCTGTGTTTTGGGAAGGGGGTCATCTTGCTCTCAAAGACCACACAACACGCAGCAGGGGTCGCAAAGCTTGTAATGAAAACAGCACACATTGTCATGGGCCATCCACTACATGTGCTAACAACACATAGCATAGTAGCTTACGTAAATTCACAAACTTTTACGATGACGTCACTAAGACAAAGAAGGCTGAGTAAGCTGTTAGAAGCTCCAAATCTTACCTTCATACATGAAGGCATCAACATGCCTGATCACATGGAAAAGGGAGAACCACACAGTGTGAATATAAGATGAAACTGGAAGCAAAAGTGCGAACAGACTTAAAAGGCACACCACTGACACACTCTGATTGACAATTGTTCACTGATGGCAGCTGCTGTCGACATCCACAGAAGGGGTTACAGTCGGGATATACGCGGTAGTCAGAAGCCATGGGGCAGGGACAGAGGTTCTGGAAGCAGAAAGGATCCAGGGAAGTCAGTCAGGTCAAAGACCGGAGGTACTTGCATTGATAAGAGCGTTACAGCTGGCAGAAGGGAAGGCAGTAAACATCTATACTGACTCGGCGTATGCAGTAGGAGCAGCTCATGTGGAGCTGGGACGGTGGTTAAGAGCAGGTTTTCTGACGGCTGGAGGAAAACCGATTATCTGGCGGCAGCCTTGGCTCTACCGAGCACCGTGGCTATTATTAAGTGCAAAGGACACAAGAACACCAACAGTATGGTGGCCAAGGGAAACCAGGCAGCAGACCAAGCTGCAAAACAGGTTTTACCCCGTTCGAACTGACCAACGGGAGACAGTTCCCTGGTCCCAGTGCCAGCCTGAACCAGCTTACACTCTCCAGGACGTCCTGAAAGATCAGGAGCAAGAGGCGGCAACGGGCACCGGAGGGTCCCCAAACGCACTCTCAACGGACAGTTGACCGACAGACACCCAGAGCATGGTGATCCAGCAGACGTCCTCCAGAGATTGGGGTGATCTCTGAAGAGATCAAAAGGGGGAATTGTGAGATGCCAGTAGTGGTGAAACATGTTGTAAACATTTGTCCGGTGCTAAAAGCCAGGTCTCAGTGGTTGACCCTGAGATGGAGAGATAGAAAGATTTAGGGTTTTGGGAAGGGGGTCATCTTGCTCTCACAGACCTTCGATCAGAGGAGCATTGTGTGTTACCCTCAGTTTGAGTTCTTATCTCAACTTGATTTGTGGCTTCTCGTGGCTGGCGCTAAGAACGGTCTTCAAGTGTATAAAAACTCAGTTTTTACTGCTCGGGAACGCCATTACACAGAACGCTGGAATACGTGCTGGTGTGTTGGACCTCCTGCTTGCAAGCAATAGTTAGAGCCAGATATCTGCGTAGAATTGCTCATGTCATCTTTTTTATTTTCTAAATAAATGTTAACTTTTTGACTTTAATTGATCAACGTGTTGCGATTCTTCTCATCAACCAACTCGGGGGATCGGAGATCCCGACATTGATGTTCCTCACGTTTCAGCCAACGTGCTCCTTCCCCCTGTGTGCCGGTCCCATTGTCTGTCCTGCCCCTGACAGTGTCCCTCTGTGTCCTCACCCTGTGTGTGTATATTGTCTGCGTCTCCCTTTGTCCTGGTCCAGTTGGTCTTGTCCCATGTTACAGAGAACCCGCGTGTACCAACGTCCTTTGACAAGTTTTGCTACGTTCTTTGTACCTTGTTCAGGCTCGCTTTCTGTTGGTTCCTTTTTCAGCCTAGCGTTTGTTTTCTAGATAATTTTGGTTCTTAGCTTTAGTACAGGGTTTCTTCCTCTGACGACAGTGATTGTCATTTGTTGCCTTTTGCAAATAAACCTTGATTTTGAACCTCGTCTCAGGAGTCGTGAGACCTGTCATCAGGGCCGTTGTCCAGTCGTGACAATTAACAACATATTTACAACATATTTTTTATTTATTAGTTTGTCATAGCTTAGATTAGTTAATAATATAATGGGGAATGAATGTTATATTTTACATATATGTAGTATGTTATAAATAGAATGTGCCTCCTTTTAATAAAATAATAAGCACTATCTTCATTTTATCTGTGGTTCAGGACAAGTGACACTGAGACGTCTGAATGTTCCCAGTGGTCGAGGTGAATAGAGGAAGTAGTTTTTGAACAGCTCTCTCATCGTTGTCTCTCACTGTGGGTCTCTAGCACAGTAATACACTGCGCTGTCCTCAGTCTTCAGACTGTTCATCTGTAGATACAGTTTACTGCTGGAGTCATCTCTGGAGATGGTGAATCTACCCTTGACTGATGGGGAGTAATAGATAGAAGAACTAGATGTGCTGATGAAAGCGATCCACTCCAGTCCTTTTCCAGGAGCCTGTCTGATCCAGTTCATATGGTAGCTGCTGAATGTGAATCCAGATGTTGTACAAGTCAACCTGTGAGTTTCTTCGGGCCTTTTAATCACTGCTTCAGATTGTGTCAGAGTCTGACCATCAACACCTGTCAAGAGAAGAAGATATGCATGTCATGTGTTACGTTAACAGCAAGTGGAAACGTCTGAAATCAAGATGAGAGAAATTCTTCACCTGCGCAGAAAACAGTTAAAAGCAGCATTCCTGTCCTAAAGTCCCTCATGGTTAACTGTGTGTCCACTGTCCTCTGTCCTCCTCTCTGCAGCCACATAAGTAGAGGAGAAAGACATCTGAGTTTTGCATTGACTCCTCCTCTCTGATTGAACAGTGTCCTCTGTCCTTGTTTTACTCTTAGTCACTTTATAACATTTGAATATGTTTCACACTCAGGGGATTCTGTCTAATGTAACACAAGATAATCCAGAAAATATGAAGACTCTATTATACAGAGCTTTTTGAAGCAGTAAAGTAAATGTTTGTCTTATTGTATCATCTTGTATCATCTTTCATCACAATGTCTCATAGGAAAAAGACTAAACAGCAGCTCAGTCTTCCAGCTG